TCGGGATTCTGGCAGCTTCCTCTGGACGATGATTCAAAGTCTAAAACTGCTTTCTGTACACCGCACGGCCTGTTCCAATTCAACCGGTTGCCGATGGGCTTACACTCAGCGCCGGCAACTTTCCAGCGTTTGATGGAATTGGTTTTGGCTGGATTGCAATGGGAGTCGTGCCTCATTTATTTGGATGACGTTATCGTCTTTGGTAAAACTTTTGACGAGCATCTCCAGAGGTTGCGGGCGGTTTTCCTAAAGATGCGGGCTGCTAATTTGAAATTCAAACCCCAAAAATGCCATTTGTTGCGCGATTCGGTGCGTTATTTGGGGCACATCGTGGGACGCTCAGGTATTGCTACCGATCCCGCCAAAACGCAGTGTGTCAGCTCCTGGCCGACTCCCACCTCGGTGGGAGAGGTCAGGAGTTTCATTGGTTTCGCGTCGTATTACCGACGGTTCGTCGCTGATTTTGCGACAATTGCCAAACCCCTGCACGCTTTAACATCTAAAGGGGTTCGGTTCCACTGGGGTCAAGAGGAGGAGGCTGCTTTCTGCTCCCTTCGGGACACCCTGGTAAAAGCCCCTCCCTTGGTTTACCCCGATTTTTCTAGGCCCTTTTTGCTCGACACCGATGCGAGCAACACGGGTATTGGGGGTGTGCTTTCCCAGGTGGTTGATGGCGTGGAACGGGTGGTCGCGTACGGTAGTCGGGTGTTGTCTCCTGCGGAGCAAAGATATTGTGTCACCCGTAGGGAACTGTTGGCAATTGTCTATTTCATCCAACAGTATCGCCCATATCTGTACGGTCGGCATTTCACCGTCCGCACAGATCATGCGGCACTACAGTATGCCCTGCGAGTTCAACAACCATCGGGACAGTTGTCTCGATGGTTGGAGATTCTCCAGGACTTTGATTTTGAAACCACCTACCGTAAGGGCGTTCGCCATACGAATGCGGACGCTCTGTCGCGCATGCCAACCACCTCCGAATGTCCATGCCTCCTGGGGTCGGGACGTTGCAGGCCTTCAGGGGACGCATCGGTTCCGGTCTTGGCAGCCACCGACGACGACGAAACATTAATTACTAATTCGATCGAACAACAGGGAAGAGATTCCCTGTTGGGGTTGCCCGTCACTGAATGGGGGCGCCTCCAGATGGAGGATACCTCCCTCCTCGGGTGGCGTCGTCGCGTCGGGGGTGCTGGGCGTGTGAAGGGTGATTCGGATGCATGGGAAATGGTGCAAGGTCTGCTGATGCATTGGGACGGCAAATCCCAGCGACATCGGCTGGTGGTCCCTTCTGGGTTGCGAGGCAAGGTGGTGTGGGCCGCGCATGAGCGCCTATTACACCTGGGGACCCAAAAGACTCTTGCACTGCTACAACTTGATTTTTTTTGGCCTGGCATGACGAGGGATGTTGGGGATCTATTGGGATCATGCCCTCGGTGTGCGCAACGGAAACCGCCGGCGCGGGAGTCTAACCCGCCCTTGCAATCGATCAAAGTGTCCAGAATAAATGAGCTTGTCGCGCTGGACATTTTGGGCCCATTTCCCGCCACCCCCAGGGGCAATAGGTATTTGTTGACTGGTGTCGAGTATTTTACACGCTGGCCTATGGCCTGGCCCCTTGCCAACCAGTCGGCAGCAGCCATCGTGGAGGCCTTTGTTCAGGGATACGTCCTGGACAAAGGTGCTCCGGAGCGGCTGCTGACCGACCAGGGCAGAAATTTTTCTGGTAAATTACTCAAACAAGTCTGTGACCTCCTAGGCACGAAGAAAATTCGTACCTCCCCGTATCACCCGCAAACTGACGGGATGGTCGAGCGCCTGCATCGCACCATTACGTCAATGATGTCACAGCAGGTCTCGGACTCACAGACTGACTGGGACCTGCATATTCAAGGGGTCTTGGCGGCATACCGGATGGCACCCCATGCAGCTACGGGATTTTCCCCCTTTTACCTCATGTACGGTCGCGAACCCGACCCGCCTGTTCGCGCCCAGCTGCAGATCCCCGAGCCGCAAGGGAAAACTAAATTGGCTGACCACGTCAAATTTAATCTGGCCAAATTGACAGAGGCGCGGGATGCTGCAATGCTAAACTCGGACCTCCGTCAAAAGGCGAATGAGCGCCTCAGGCTGGGTCGGGCGCACATGATACAGTGGAAGCCGGGGGACAAGGCATGGCTGCACTGTCCCCAAGTGCCACTGGCTACCTCCTCTAAGCTGGTGCGGCCGTGGCGGGGCCCTGTGGAGGTGGTCGAAGTTTTGCGACCACAGTGCGTGCGCATTAAATGGGGGAAGCGGCGATGGTTCGTGCACCCCTCTAGGTTAAAACCCTTCGTTGCGGTACACAAACCCACTTCACACATGCGTGGCCAAACGTGTGGGGGGTCGACCGACTCATTGGGTCCGTCTCCGTCGTTCTCACCTAATGCCTTGCCGGCCGTGCCACCTCCAGGTGCATCAGGACTGACGGGCTCACGCCCGACCACCCCTCCTGGGGATACCGACGGTCGCGCGGCATCGGATGAGGACTCACTCCGGGACGGACAATTGCCACCTGACGGTCCGCCACCCGAGGTTACCCCGTGTGAGGGGCCCACTGCAAGGACGCGCGCAAAAATGCGCAGACTGTTATGAGGCCGGAAGATGTGTACATAGGTTGTGTTCATCGTGTGTTGTGTGGGTGGTGTGTCCCCTGCCCATTGAATGTACATATGTTGGGTTCATTGTGTGTTGTGTGGGTGGTGTGTTCCCTGCCCATTGAAATGTACATACGTTGGGTTCACCTGGTGTTGTGTGTATGGTGGGTTCCCTGCAAATTGTATATAGGTTTTTTTTTTTACGGAATTCGTATTTATTCAAGGGGGGGTGCGTCGGGTTGTTTTCTCTTCTTGCTGTTGCATTTTGTTGTGTTCTTGTTGCTGTTCTTGTTATTGTTGAAAAATAGTGAGGCACACGCGCGGTCAAGGTGTAAATGCACTTTTATTGTCATTTTTGTATGTTGGCAGCCGGGACGGCTGCAAGCTATGCGGGGGGGGGGGGGGGTGATGTAGGGGTGTTAAAGAGAGGGCCCGTTATGCATGGCAGCCTATGGAAAACAAACACAGTGGGCGGGGCTACGTAAGTGCACGAGGAGGTGCCCTCTACGACGTCCGAGCCAGACACCCTGGGGGGGGGCTGGTTCGAACGTTATGATCCCCCGGGGCCCCACCCCTCAGGGAGGGGTTGGGTATAAAAGGGGATGTTCAAAGGGCTCGAGTCAGTTATGTTTAAGCTAAGGGAAGAAGACTGAAGACGTCTTAGATAGAGCCCTAGACTCCCCTAGTTCGATGTCCTTTTCAGGGCCGGACAGGACTGAGCCAGCGGCGTGGTCCCGAAAGCCAGAGCCGGTGCTCTTGTAAGAGCTGGTCTGGAACTCCGGGTACCGGGCCCGACTTACCAGTGTCGGGCCAGTTAGCCTCCCCTAGCCCATTAGTGGAGGATTCGGGGCTAGGACAGAGTTAGCTAGGGGTGTATCCCGAGTTATACGGGTGAGGGGGCCGATACCCCCTCGAGTGTGTATATGCCCACTGTCGTATTGTGAAATAAATATACGTGTGCCTCAACCTCGGCGTCAAGCGTCCTCACCGGTACTTCATTTGTATATCTGGATGGCTTCATGGACAAATCTTTGGTAGTACCCGGGAGGTTTGCAGAGTACTTTGGTATCGGAGAAAACAATATCATGAGAACCCGCTGTGTTGAAACAATGATCAGCTACGGCCGAATAATTCGTTCTGCCGTGTTTCAAATCTGATTTGTGCTCACGAAATCGGTCAGAAATATATCGTTTCGTCTCCCCGATATAGCAGTCACCACAGGTACAACTCAATTTGTAAACACCGGGGTACTCTAAGTCAGGAATGACATCCTTTACGGATGGGATCAGATCACGGATTTTGTGTACTGCATTGAATCGGACCTGGATCTTGTGTTTGTTTAGAATTTTAGAATTCTTTTTGGTAACGCCTGCTATGTATGGCAACGTGATGATTTTGATCGCAGTTTCAGGTGGTTGTTTCTGCATGGTGGGAGAAACAGCTTGGCGGATAGTACGGTCAGAGTATCCGTTCATCTTGAGGGCCAGATGTACATGTTTTAATTCACTGGCAAGGTGGTGTTGGTCTGAGTTGGTCTGAGTTGGTCTGAGATGCAATGAGCCTTATGGTATAGTTACTGCTGCCTGTTGGGACAGCCACATTTTCTCAACTCCTTGAGATAGTGGTGTAGACGACAATACGGCTTCAGTTATCTTGAGATGGTGGACTGGACAAGGCCGAGAGCGTTTGTACGTATCATGCTGCACACCTTTGTGTGTTGATCAGTGTTTTCCAGCCCGCACTCATTTTTCGTTGCGTTCGTTTTTCTCATCAATTAGACATATACAGCTAATCTGGCTGTGACGGTCCCACCTGATGACGGAGACTTGTGTTGCCTCCGAAACGTCGTGATTTTCATTGTTTTATTTTATTATTTTTATTTCAATTTTTACCTACGTGACTTTACCGAAAGAACTAAGAGTATGAATCCTTGCAGTCACAAAAGCTTCAAATCTAGAATTACAAGCGTTTTATACACACCCCATCAGCCACATGGCCACCTGGGAGTGCATGTTTTCAGCAGCATTGGCTCAATACAGGGACACCTCTGGTCTAATTTCGACATTCAGTGTTGCATCAACAGAGTCCAGCTTGCTCGAAACAATCAATGCTGGTGAACTGCATATATGGCGTTTATAGGCAGAGTCCCAATTTGACAAAGAAAAAAACTGCGTTCAACTGCGTTCATCTTTATTATGGACGTGTTTGTAAACACCATTGGCCATTCTCTAGCCATTGCCGGATGAATGCCTCTCCCAATGTCCGGAGGTTGCTTGCACTGAACTAATGCTGCTGAGATAGTGCACTCCCAGAAGGCCGTGTACAAGCGACTTGTGTTTCATCTGCGGTTTGGCGACTCACCTGTTGATGATGAGCAGCCGGGCACGTGGCTCGTGGGAGGAGTTGGTGCGCGTGGCCCAGCACGACTCAATGATGAGACGGAGCGGCGGCGCCGCGTTGGCGAGCGCCAGTTCCACATCGAGCTGCTCCGACTCGTGCAGCATGGGCGCCAGGCCCACCGAGTGGCCACCGTCGCCGCTATGCGAAAGGCGCACGCTCACCTCGTACTGCCCAGTCCCATGCGCCGTGTCGTTGATCACAAACCTGTGACACGGAGACAAGTCCGGTATCGGGCCGCCACCCGTCCCACCAGAAACCAAACCTGAACGAATTACTCAGTCAGCGCTATGTGGTCTATTATCAACACCATGCAGTTTACTGGAATGTAGTTCAATGCAGCAACACCGGTGCCAGATATCAGTACCAATCAATTCCTGCCGTCCAGACACAGAAGCCAGTTCCCGGACCCTCCGGGTCCAACCCAGGTTGACAGGTGGCATCCAAAGTGGAAGTGTCTAACAAGGGTCTGACATTCGTCGACACACTGTGTTGTGTAAGCGTCATCATCAACGCGAAGGCGAGGAAGGCGCGCCCCAACCAGATTGTCCACCATGTTTCACCGCGCTGCAGAAGGAGGTCTCCTGCAAGGTTTGGCTGGTGTCACGACAGATCTGACGAATGTACAAGTGCCTCGGACGCCCGCCTGGATGGTGCCATAGTGGAGATGGCCGAGATCCGCTCTCCACCCAGAGCGACGGAAGCCAGGCGTGGCATGCTGGAGGAGAGTCGCCCTCCATTCTTGCGATGCGGCCACACAGACGGAGATGTCTCAAGCGGACGATGTCATCGAAGGCAGGGAGACGGGCCCTCGACGAGACCTCTGTGTAGCGAGCGAAGTCAAACTGTGTGATTCCGAGGAGCTATCGCTGACACCACGTAGTATGGAGGGAAGGCCACCAGCCGGATTGAGTTCGACCACAGTTTCAGTCTCGGCGTCATACAGTCGGACTGGCCTCACGCAAGTCTAGTAGATTCGGGTCTTGGTAGATCTGCCGAGTCTACGTTGAGGCCAGATGTTCTATAGAGGCTTCATGATGGACGCAGCCAGGCTGATCTTGAAGAGAATGTCAGGCTCGCAGTGGCCGTCCCATGACTGCTTGCGGCCGAAGGCGAATAGAGTCCTTGACACCCTCAGTGGTGTTGGTCTCTGGGGGTCCAACTCCCAAGTTCTCCACCTTTCCCTTCTGGCACGGCACATTGAGTCCAAGGTGCACGTGGCATCGTTCTACTGTTGAGGTGCAATGGGGAAGTCCCTGGGTGTGTCCATGGATGGGGCTGCATCGTCATCGTAGCCCAGGCTCTTAGGCAGCTGGGCTGGTCTCCTACCGCTATTTCGAAGGACATAGAGTATAACTTCATTAGCCAGCCCATTGCTCTACAAAGCAAGGCTGGAGTGAGGATGCATCATCCATGGTGCGCTCCACACGTGGTTGCAAATCTCAGCCCGACTTGGGCCTGTGTTCCCCTGCCCATGTGGAGATCCCTGAGCTGTCTTGGGATGGCGATATCCTTCAACGACAAAAGCCACAGAGAGTTCCTGGCCAGGGACTCCAGCGCCACATGGAGCAGTCGGTTGAACTCTCAGTGGAGTTCGGTTGTCAGGCAGAGTGAGCGCGGCATCCATCGAATCTCCTCCACAGTCGACGGATTTGAGTTCGTGGACTGTGTTGCTTTGCCGACTCGTCAGAAGAACAACTCTGATTTGATCTCTGTTAGGATCAATCGATCGTGACAGAGATCAATCGACCATTCCCCCGGTGCTAATCAATCGGAGATTGTTCTTCTGTCGAGCATGAAAACCAGGCGAGATTACCAAATTCAACTCCTGGAGATACCCGGAGTAAGTAGTGCATGGCGAAAGCTTGGGAGAAGAATAAACAATGACGTTTTATTTTTATGCAGTGGCGTAATTCATGCAAACTGCATCTCCAAATGCTGTAGAACTTGTAACATCACAGCTTTTTTTTTTACAGGAAACCACAGGCAAGTGGGGAAGGCATCCAGAACCGACACCAACAATTCCTTAAGACTTGTGGCCCTGTGTTGGGATATTTGGCTAACTCCATGACTGAGTGTGTGCTTGTGAAATGCTCGTCATGCAGCCCAAGTAGAAGACCCAAGCAACGGCTAACACGGAACGTGTTCAAGCGAGTGCGTGATGGTGTTGCGACGCCATTGGAGGTCAGAAATCTTGGTGTTCAGTTTGACCAGTCCCTGACCTTTGAAGCACATGCATCTAAGGTGGTTAGAACTTTGTTCTTACACTTTATAAATATTACCTGGCTGCATCGATTCCTGTCACCTAATGACTTGCAGAGACTGGTCCATGCTTTTGTGTTCGCCCGACTTGATTACTACAACGTATTACGTTTCGGGATTCTGAGTAAGGGGCTGGGTTAGACTCCATCTCGTTCAAAAAGCAGCTGCTAGAGTGCTTACGCACACACCGTTTCGCGAGCACATCACACATCTGCTGCTCTCTTGTCTGTGTATTGGCTACCAGTCCTGGGGTGATCGGGCTGTTGCCAGTGCAGCTCCCAAACTTTGGAAAGCTCTGCCTTTGCTAAAGAGACAATCAAAATCGTTAGAGCTGTATAAGTCTGTTGTGAAAACTCACTTATTTAAACTGGTCTTTACTCCCCAGTTGTGGCCGTTTACCCAGATTCAGCTTATTTATTGCTTTCCATACACAGTGCATTGGGATCTACGAATGAAATGCACCTTATAAATGTTAAGTGTTTATACGTTGAACTTCTTTCGCACCTTACAACCAACCATGCTAATCGGAGGTGCGGGAAATTATTCTTTACCCGATGGGTATGAAACCGGTGGTGATGTTCAGTACGTTCGGCAAGAGGCAGTAGAGTTGGAGCTTAAGTTTCTTGTCCTGGTCATGTATCTCGCTTCGCATCAGGGTGTGGGTTGTGTTCTGTCAAACACAAGGTGGGGTGGGGGGGGAGTTCAGCTTGATTTGTGCAGCCAGGTAAGACCCAGGTGAGAACTGTGGAGACCGGGTAGAGCCTCATTTTATACCTGAGTCACCAAAATGTCAATGGCATGAACGTAAAACAAAGGACAGCAATGAAGCAAATACAAATCAGAAGCAGAAACAGTGGCAGCGCAGAAGGAATCTAAACCAGTGTGCAAGAATAAATAATTATTAATAATATACATTTCCTGGTACAAAAGTCGATTTGGCCTTGAGCCTGGTTCACGCTTGGATGGGAACAGCAGGCGCTGTAGGGTTGGGGGCTGGCTGCGAGATGGCCAAAGGATGGAATCACTGCAATGGATTCCTGAATATGCCTATGTGGATCTTTTGAGTGTTATCCCTTTTGTATGCATGGTGGGTTTTCTCCGGGTTCCCCAGTTTCCTTCCACATGAAGCCAAACACTCATTGGATCTGGCCAAACATCCCAATGGATGTAACGATTGCACAAAAAAAGTCCAAGTGATTTCCGGATCAAATGAGCATCGAAGATGTGCTCATCTGCTCACAATGGTGGAAATTCCACGTTCCTATACCAGAGGTAAGTTTACCCAAAGGACAACTACTGTTGACTCTCCGAAACAAGTTGTAACGATTTTATTGACCCCAGTGGGATGATGGGCGAAGTCAACCCTCCAAGCAGGATTTCAACTCGTGGCCGTGCGATTATGAGCCGCTCGCTCCATCGCTGACCCACTCGTGCGATGCTGCGCTGCTGCTCAGCGGTAAGCTATCAACATAAACCAAATAATTAATAAATCATGGGCGCCGCAGTGGTGAGATGTTAACTACCTCGCCTGATATACAGGAGGTCGTGAGTTCAATCCCGACCCTGACGCCTGCATATTTGGAGTTTGCGCATCTCTCTCTCTGTGGTCACGTTAATTTTTCTCCGGGTCTTCCGGTTTTCCCTCAACATTTACAATGCATTAACAGTATTTGTCTGCTATAAATTTCCACGTGATAAGCCACTTCATTGAGCCGTCATTTGTGGCCAGGTCGCTTTTGAAAAAGAGCAATAAAGCTCAGTGGACCTTACCTGGTAAAATAAAAAATAGCGTTGACAACTCCAGTGGCAGTGGTGCTATGAGGAAGGGCCATTGTCAGAGACGTCGCCCTTATATGGGTCCCCCCTTCTCGGGCCTATGGTGCTGGTGACGGCCGCAGTGAGCATTGTACGGTGCCCCTCCGCCCCCATTGACACCTGCGTGGTCACGTCGGCGCCGCAGGCGCCAGGGTTGACGTGCTTGGACAGCAGCAGGTGCAGGGTGACGTGGGTGCTGTTGGCGAAGCGTGCGGTGCACTCGGGGGTTCCGATGAACAGCGAGTCCCAGGGGAAGTTGGCTCGGAGCAGCGCCGGCAATGGCAGCGCTGCCCACAGGCGGAGGTCATCGCATCCCACCGATACGCTGCTCCCAAACGTCGGGTTCACGTCGTCGGAGGAAGAGGGGCCTGTGGATTTCAAAATGAATGTTCAGGTTTCAGGTTGATTTTGTGTCACCAGGTGCAACCTCAAGAGACCAGGATGACTTTCATTTGCAAGAGTGACCTGGGTCACCAAAATGCCGAGTTGATCATGGCCACATCTGAAGAACAACAATGGCTTGCATTAACTTGAAGATTATAATTACAAGCGATTTTGTATATCTGATACTACACAAACCGATTAGTGCCCCGTAACTCATCAAAAATCCTGTAATTCATCATTGTCTCGGCCTCGCTGTGCCGTGGATGAGATAAATCGTCATCCTTGCTCTCAAGATCGCAATAAGGTTACATGGGTATGAGTCTGCACCGAACTTATTCAATTACAAGTAACATTTACAATAAGGCAAGTTGCTGGCTGTTGTTAACTAGGCCTCGTATTTATCATAACAATTTAACAGAATTATAAAGGCATTTACAGCATAACGGTCGTTCTAACTCTAGATTTGAAGCTTTCGTGACTGCAATGATTCATATTCTTAGGTTTTTTCGGTAAAGTCACGGAGGTAAAATCATTAAAAAGTAAAATAAAATAAAAATCACAACGTTTCGGAGGCAACACAAGCTTCCGTCTTCAGGTGGTACCGTCACAGCCATGACAGCTGTATCAAGTAAATGAGAGATTGCAGGAGCTACCACTCCGTTTATATAATGGTTGGAGGTGGTGGGGCAAGGCCGCATAATTATTATTAATATGGTAAGGTGAGGCTTGAGACTAAGAATAGACTGCATAACAAAGGCTGAGCCTTTGTTATGAAAAGGTGCGGTTTGTGACTCAACCTGTGACAGGGAGACCACCACTAAACATGGTAAAACAGTAATGGTTGTCTGTCAAATAAGATTGGCAAATAAGTGTAGTTAAATCTGTTTTGCATGGTTAATCACATCTTTCCAATGATTACTCAGTTTGTAACCGTCATCACGGTTGAAATTATGTCTGTGTTTGTATATTTGTATGGCTTCGTGTACAAACCTTTGATGGTAGCCAGGAGGTTTGCAGAGAACCTTGGTCTCGGAAAATACAATTTCATGAGAGCCCACCGAGTTGTAGCAATGATCGGCAGCGGCCGAAGAATCAGTTCTGCCGTGTTTCAGATCTGACTTGTGCTCGCGGACACGATCAGAAACATGACGTTTAGTTTCTCCAATGTAGCAATCACCACAAATGCAACTCAATTTGTAGACTCCAGGATACTGTAAATCAGGAACGACATCCTTCACAGATGGAATCAAATCACGGATTTTATGCACTGTACTGAATCGGACTTGGATCTTATGTTTGTTTAGAATTTTGGAGATCTTTTTGGTCACGCCTGGGCTCTGTGGTATAGCGTTTTGATCTCAAAATAATTCTCTCATAAAAACGCTATACCACAGAGCCCATGGCATTTCTGACCAACACCACCTGGCCGGTGAATTAAGACATGTACATCGGGCCCTCAGGATGAATGGATACTCTGACCGCACTATCTGCCAAGCTGTTTCTCCCACCATACAGAAACAGCCACATGAAACTCCGACCAAAACTATCAAGTTGCCATACATAGCAGCACACTTATTTGCCAATATTATTTGACAGACAACCATTACTGTTTTACCATATTTAGTGGTCTCCCTGTCACAGGTTGAGTCACAAACCGCACCTTTCCATAACAAAGGCTCAGCCTTTGTTATGCAGTCTATTCTTAGTCTCAAGTCTCACCTTACCATATTAATAAGTGTGCGGCCCTTGCCCCACCACCTTCTCCAACCATTATATAAACGGAGTGGTAGCTCCTGCAATCTCTCATTTACTTGATACAGCTGTCGTGGCTGTGACGGTACCGGTCGTTCTAACATTATAACAGCATTCCCAATATTATAAGAACATAAACGAACTTACAGACAATGCTTCTTAAAGTCCCACAATGTACAGTTACAGTTGTCTTCACTGGGACGCGATGTGTGCCACCATTTTGAATTCTGTGTAATGGCGGACGCCAACCTCGTGGTTGAAAGACTGTCAAATCGTAACTTCCTGTTCACGTGACCAAACTCAACCTCAAAACAGGAAGTTCCTGTGTACACACACCCCCACTCCTGCCGTGGAGTAAACACCTGCCGTGAGGCAGAACAATCATTGATGTTTTTATGGCGGCATTGACTTTCACTCGATAGATAATTTCCCATACCTGGCTCTTTGAGCCTTAGGTATGCATACAGACCCATACGAATCCTATAGGAGCCTTAGTCTGGCTCTCTGTCTGACTCATTGCCGATAGTCAACGGCCAATGACAGCACTTGTTTTATACACTTATCTTCTATTCCATATTAGGTTTGGGGGGGGGGGACTGATATGGCTAAGCATGTAGGGGGCGCCTGCCCAACTGCCAACTGAAGTTTGGGTTGCCCTGCCACTGGGTTTGAGTGTTGGTCGTCACATTTGTTGAAACCTCCGATCCCACATTGGAGCTGTGTGCTACTCCAGAGTGGGGGTCCCTGGGAGCTGCGAACGAGCACAGTGACTCCAAACCCATTTCACATCCCTCCCCTTCCCCATGGGTAGAGGCAAAGGCGCGGCCCTGCAAGTGCCTGTTCACGCCACTACTGGTGTAGGGACCTCGCCTATAGGCAGCTCTAGAGAGCCTCAAGGGAATATTTGGCCTTGTTGTCCACGATAGCAAGATGTCTTTGAAGCGGTTGGAAGTACTCACACTTTACCCCACCACACACATGGATTGCCAGTGGACTACATTTTAAATTCAAGTGTTCCTGAAACGAACTATAAAGCTCAGTGTGCCTTACCTGGTAAAATGAAAATTTCTAAATAGGTAGGTTTCATTTATTGTCGTTATTGTTGCTATGTGGATCATGTCTGCACTGTAGATCGCTGTGAGTGTGAATCGATTGTCGTTTGTGACTGCGATATTACCCAGAGGGGACGTTGCCTGCTCATCTGTGGTTAAGTGTGGAGATGGGGGCCGCAGCGAGCCGGGCCGAGTAGTATGGAACAGCCCAAGCCGACTGCGTCTTACCGGAAGGCACCAGGGAGTGGTGATGGCAACTTATCCAGTTCTGTAGCTCGACGTAGTGACTCTTGAGCTTACCTCCCAAGTTGTTCTAGCGACCAACGCAGCGACTACGAACGCGGGCACCACGCAGAGGATGAGCGATGGAGACGCCGCAGTCCGTGTGGGCATGCGGGCATGCGGCCACGCGGCGCTCCGGTGTTCAATATATAATGTGAGGCACCCTTAGCTAGAATTCAAGTACATCTTACGAACAAGACGTCGATTGAATGTATCACGGTTTCATTTCACGTTATGGTTAATTGCGGCTACATTGCGTCGAAATGAGATGCATTGTTTTTCTGCATTTAAACTGGGGATGCCCGCTAATAACATCTCCATATATATAAAAGGCAAAGTTGTGAATGTGTGCCTGTTCAAAATGTTTAGCGTACTTTCCGACATGCAACAAACTGGAAATTTGCCATGTGGGTACTTTCCAGAGGTAAACACCATACAAAATAATAAAAATACACTTTTTTGGGGGGGAGCTCAATAATCCATATATTTTTTGCACGGCAAGTGGGCTGTGATGTCAACGTTGTCATGTGACCCGCGCATGTGGAAGCGTAACTCATTGTAGTGTAGTGGTTGGCGTGTGCGCTATGAACCCGGCGACTTGCGTTCGATTCCCGCTCACCACCGGTGACGATTATTTTAACCGGTCCTGGGCCTCCCCTAGGTCGTCTCAGCCTCAAACAATTAACTGGTGTGGTGTGTGAACATCGCCATTGGGGAGGCAAAAACGGGGCCACCCACCCCCTCGTGTGCCGTGCCGGCCTTCGTAAGTGCTCGCTAACAGCACTTGCCCCCTACAGTCTCTTCTCTTTCTTTCTCTTATCTATAGAAGTCCGCGCGCGCGTGCTCTTGCGAGGGATCTGCCTCTCGAACGGTGCCCTTTACGCCCAAAATGTTTTTTCTTGCCAGCACGCCCTAAGCCCCGCGGTAGGAATAGGCTGTTCCCTTTTCACGTCTGTCACCTTTAAATGAGTTTATTTAGCGTTTTTTTGGAGATATTTATTAAACTTGAAAGTTAGTTTGCATATTATTTATTTATTTCCTTTCGCCACGCACTAGGCCACAACGCAGCCAGCTGCACTTGCGCACAGCGCCCACGAGGTAATCCCCAGCAATCCACACGCGCCATAGCCCAAGGTAAGTCGCACACTTTGTATGATATGCTTTTAGATAAGACGTAAGTCCCACTAATTTGTCTTATAAGCATTTAGCTCATTACACGTTGCACTGCCCACATGGGTTGCCCCTAGCAACGCACACGCAATCGCCACAAATTTTCTTTCGCCTTACACATGCAGCTAAAACACACGAAACACGTACATTCTTCACTGTGCGATGTCCTCTTCTCCCCACCACAAACCAATTATACCCCAATGCGTCCTTAAACTACTATAGAGCCCCTACATGTCATTATTATAGCGCTTACATCACATTATTGTTGCGTTGCCAATGGGACCGGCCCAGCCCCCAGCCTGCCAAGGTCACACCTCGGCGGGCTGGGAAATCTAGGCGAGCCCGGGGGCTCTGCACGGGACTACGCCTCTCCACGGCACTGTCTGCTTACTACTTTGTGCTATACATTCCATATATACTGCTATACAGTCAGCATGTACTACTGTAGTGCTAGTAGGTACCACCACAGTCACTATACACTGTTGTCGTTATAGCAGGTGTAGGGGTGTCAGGGGAAGGATTCCCACCAATAGATGGGTTAGTGGGAGGGGTGATCGAGGAGATATAAGGAGAGAACGGGCGGGAAGAAGGGGCCTTTGGCGGGAACGAGATTGGGACGGCTGGGGGACAGGTGTGGATGGAAGGAAAGGAATAAAGGACGAGACCCCTGCAATCTGGTGTCGGCTCCTACTTTACATCTGGTGGCAGCGGTGGGATCTCATGGCTACAAAGAAAAATCTCCGCGGGAAAGAGCCAAGGGAGGAGGAAGCAGGGGCCGGGGATCCTTCCCATCCCGGGCAACAAGGGGGCCTGCTATCAGAAGCAGCAGCAGGGGGCCCGGATCGCCTGGAGGACCCCATGGAGGACCGCATGGCCCGCGTGGAGAGGGCACTCCAGGAGCTCCTACAGAGGCTCCCTATGGGGGGCCCGCCAGCACCAGGACCCCCACCCCCACGCGTACTACGGGAGGAGAGGCCACGGGACCCGGAGGCCGACCAGCCGGCCGGGCAAGAGCCGCAACCAACCTCGTCACGCCAGCCGCCGCCGGTCCCGCCAAAACCCCCAGGGCTAACCACCCAACACGGAGAGCAGGTGGCCGGACGGCCGCGTCGGCTGGGGCCCGTCGACAAGTTCGTGGCTGAGGAAGAAGACTGGGAGGAGTTTGTCCGCCGATTCGAGGCTGCCTTCCACGCTCTCGAGTGGACAGACGAAGAGGCACTACGAGCGCTGCCATCCGTTCTGGGCAAAGAAGCACTCGCCTCTTACACCTCCCTTCCCTCGCACAGCAAGACCACGCTACAGGCGGCCTACGAGGCTTTGGGGGAGATCTATTGCCCGGCGGAAGGAGCCTTTAAACGGTTCCAGGATCGCCAGCGAGGGGCTAAAGAATCCCCTTTATCCTACAGGGGTGCACTGCTCGTGTTGGCGAGGAGAGCTTTCCCTCGCCTGGCTGAAGAAGCGCTCGAGGATCTCGTGGTCGAGCACCTCATCGCCTACGCTTGCCGCGCCGGCGTTGTAATGCCCGTGGTGACGCCGGGGGAACGCACCTCGCTGTGGGCTGCCCGGACCATCCAAGCCCACGAGCAGGTCATGGGCCGGGCGCCACCCGTGGGCCCGGTGGCTGGCGCGGCGGGGGGGAACAGCCGAGCCGTTGCCGCAGCGCTACTGGGTCCAGCGACACCAACCGCCGAACCTGCACCGTCGCCACAGGTTGCCTGTGGAGCAGCTGGGGACGGACCCCCGACGTCTGAGACGGAGCCATCGCTGCGGGAGGTGTACGCGGCGATCCGGGGACTGGCGGAGCAGAGGGACCATGGGCGCGACCAGCCGCCGCGTCGCTGGCAGCCGCCTCTACAACATCGCGCCGAGCCCCCCCGACGGAACGCCCCGTGGGTCTGCCACCGTTGTGGTCGAGAGGGGCATGTGGCGAGGGGGTGCCGCACGGAGCCGGAGGCCGCCAACGTCACCTGGAACCCGCCGGGGCCGAACGCCGACAGGATCCAGGCGAGTGACGCCGTCCCGCCCGGCCTCTCGGTCGGGCCGAGCAATTACAATTCCGACGCCGCGAACTTACCGGGAGTCTCCTCGGGGTGGGCGCCGTCGGTGTCGTTCCCCGGTCCCCATTGTCCGGGTCGGGGGAAGGGGATCGCGCCGGGGATAGCGCCGGGGCCTGTGATTGCGTCGCGACCAGAAGTGGCGTCGCGACCCGGAGTGGCGTCGCGAACGGACGTGACGTTGCATCCGGAAGTGACGTCGCGGCCAAAAGTGGTGTCGCGGATCGCGTCGGGGATCGCGCCGAGGCCGTGGACCGCGTCGGGAGTCGCGCCGGGGCCGGAGACCGCGTCGGGAGTCGCGCCGAGGCCGGGAGGGACGTCGCGGGCGGACGTGACGTCGCGGGCGGAGGTGACGTCGCGGGCGGAGGTGACGTCGCGGGCGGACGTGACGTCGCGGGCGGAGGTGACGTCGCGGGCGGGCGTGGTTTCGCGGGCGGGCGTGACGTCGCCGGCAGGCGTGACGTCGCGGGCGGGCGTGGTTTCGCGGGCGGGCGTGACGTCGCCGGCGGGCGTGACGTCACCAGTTACCTGCGACGCCGGCGAGTTGCCAGGGGCAATGGCCCGGGGGCGGAGGCAGCCCACAAGATTGACATTGCGCCCTGGAGCAGTTCCACGGGCCGCCTCGCCACCGCTTTGCGACAGAGCGAGACGGAACCAGGGGGACCACGCCCCCGTGACAAAGGGAAGGGAGGGGCTCACGGGAAGGCCCACCCCCCAGTCCCCACTGCCCCCTACAATGGGGGGGGGCCCCCCACACCACAAGGGGGGCCCACCCTACATCACCAAGGGGGGGCAAATTGCACCACATAGAGAGCACAGCCCTCAACCCAGGGGTAAGCCCACACTATGTAACAAGGGCGCGCTCACCCTGCTGCGACGCACTCCAAAGGGAGGAACCCCATCTTCAGTCCATTCACATCCATCCCCCATCATTTCACCATGCACCACAGGATAACGAGACGCCGCCTGGTCAGTGGCCGGACTCAGCCACACAATGGAGGAAGCTGGCAAGGCGGGTGGTAGCGGCCACGTCGGGAACCTCGGTCCTGGTCGGTGAAATCGCGGGAGTGTCGGCACGTATCTTGGTGGATACGGGGGCATCAGCCACGATCATCTCGAGCACCATGCACGAGATGCTGCCAGATAAAATCCGACCTTTAGTCCCTGTCAAGACAACGTTCATTGCAGCAAATGGAGGCAGCATGGGCTTCCTGGGCCAGGTTGAAGCCCCGATACAGATTGGGCAGCTCTCGGTAGCAGGACCCATCCTTGTCTCCGCAACGTTGCCCGTACCCTGCCTGTTGGGGACGGACTTTCTGAGGCGGATGCCAATGAAAATCGATCTGGCCAATGGGCGGGTGGAAGTCCAGGGAACGCATCTCCATTTCCTAAAGGCGTAGGGGGCCAGCCGGGGTGTACCCTACGTGCAGGCTCTGGTCAGTAAGTCTGTCTCCATTCCCCCGGCAGCCCAGATGCTGATTCCGCTGCAATATCGGTCTCCCCTCGTGACAGCCCGACCAGACTCACCCATCCTGGTGTCTCCGGCGTCAGCTGCCATGGATCGCCATGCGCTGGTGGGAGCCGAAACTATTGTACAGAGGAACCAGCATCTGTTCATTCAGGTGCTGAACACCTCCGATAGAACAGCGACGGTGCAGGAGGGAACAGTTCTGGCCCACGTTAGTCCCTTGTCACTAGGAGCCCCAGGGACAAAGCCCGAGCTTGTAGGCAGCATCAGTCAGTCCGAGGACAGAGGGGCCGAATCATGGATGGACCAGCTGGCGGGGCCTGAGCCGGGATTGCCGCCCGACCAGAAACAGCAGCTGCACTCGTTATTGCATGAGTTCTCGGACGTGTTCAGCCGGGGACCGTTCGACCTAGGGCGCACAAATCTGTCGCAGCACCACATTAACACGGGAGATGCCGCACCCCTGCGCCAAAACACATATAGAATGAGCCCAATGGAAAAAGGGCACATTCAACAAGCGGTGCAGGAGATGCTGCGGGCCGACATAATTTTTCCATCCTCGAGTCCCTGGGGGGCACCGGTGGTCCTAGTCAAGAAGTCAGACGGGTCACTGAGATTCTGTGTGGACTTCCGACGCCTCAATGCCGTCACGCTGGCCGACGCATATCCCCTACCACGTATTGACGACTCATTGGATGCACTGGCGGGAGCAAAATTTTTCAGTACGCTGGATTTATTGTTCGGGTTCTGACAGGTCCCACTAGACGCGGACTCCCGGCCTAAAACAGCGTTCCGGACACCACAGGGCCTGTTCGAGTTCAACTGCCTGCCTATGGGCCTCCAGACTGCGTCGGCGACGTTCCAACACATAATGGAGTTGGCCTTAGCAGGCCTCCAATGGGAAACGTGCCTCATCTACCTGGATGACGTCATTGTCTTCAGCCGATCATTCGAGGAACACATTGACCGATTACGTCAGGTATTCCTGCGGTTCCGGAACGCGAACTTGAAGCTCAAGCCGTCGAAGTGCCACCTTATGCAGTCGTCGGTACGCTACTTGGGCCACGTCGTCAGTGAGTCTGGAGTGGCTACAGACCCGGAAAAGACGGCCTGCGTGAGGGCCTGGGCTGTTCCCACAACGGTTCCAGAGGTACGCCGGTTTGTGGGTTTCGTTTCTTATTACCGCCGGTTCGTACCCAACTTCGCAACCATTGCCAAGCCCTTGCACGTGTTGACGGCGAAGAACCAGAGGTTTTATTGGGGCCCTCTGGAGGAAGAGGCATTCCAGCAGCTGCGCTCACGTCTGACAGATGCACCACCATTGGCCTTTCCGGATTTTGGCCTCCCCTTTATCCTGGACACGGACGCCAGCGATGTGGGCATCGGCAGTGTTTTGTCGCAAGTCCAGCAGGGTCGCGAGGTGGTTATCGCCTATGGTAGTCGCGTGCTTTCATCAGCGGAGCAGCGCTACTGCGTCACACGTAGGGAACTCCTGGCAGTCGTTCACTTCGTGCAGCAATTTCGACCCTACCTGTATGGTCGCAAATTTACGGTCCGCACTGACCACGCGGCCTTGCAGTATTCGCTCCGCATCGACCAGCCTTCGGGCCAGCTGGCCAGATGGATAGAGCGCCTGCAGGAGTACAGGTACCAAGTAGTGCATCGCAAAGGGACCAGACATGCCAACGCAGACGCATTGTCCCGACTGGCGCCCCAGGGCCCTTGTGCATGCACCACAGGCGGGGCACGCTGCAAGGAGGCGAGGCCGGAGGGGACAGTCATCGCTCCCGTACGCACGGCGGAGGACACACAGGGTGAGGTCCAGCTGACCGACCACGACCTGGGGCTGACCTTGGACGATTGGCGACGGCTACAGCTGGAGGAAGCCCCACTTTGAACGCTACACGCCTCAGCAGAGGCAGGGGGGGAGGAGTACATCGTATGGGAGGACCTCCTCATGCGATGGGACCCGACAGGGCGCCGACGATGCCTGGTAGTTCCGGAGTCGCTGCGTCAACAATTGGTTATGGACGTACACGGCCGCCAGCTGCTGCACCTGGCGGGCGGAAGACACTGTACACATTACAGAGTCGGTACTTTTGGCCAGGTATGACCGCTGACGTGCATCGATGGGTCGCTACCTGCGTCGAATGTGCGCGGCGAAAGCCGCCACCCCGGTTAAGCCGGGCGCCCCTACAGCCCATCACGGTGACCAGGGTCAACGAATTGGTTGCGTTGGACATCCTGGGACCACTGCCGGTCACGCCACGGGGAAATAAATACCTGTTGGTCGGAGTCGAGTACTGCACGAGGTGGCCGATGGCGTGGGTCCTCCCGGACCAAACGGCACAGACCATCGCCGATGCCTTCGTGGGAGGCTATGTCCTTGATAAGGGGGCACCGGAGCGGTTGCTCACGGATCAGGGCAGGAATTTCTCCTCACAGCTATTGAAGGACGTCTGCTCTATCCTGGGCGCTAAAAAGGTCCGAACATCTCCGTATCATCCCCAGACCGATGGGATGGTAGAGCGGCTTAACCGCACCATAGCGGCCATGCTGTCCCAAGTGGTGGACGAAAACCATTCCGACTGGGACCTCCACATTCCATCTGTCTTAGCGGCGTACAGGGTGGCCCCACATGCGGCGACGGGGTTCTCGCCGTTTTTCCTGATGTACGGACGGGATCCCGTTCCGCCTATTGAGGTGCAGCTGACGGACATTCCCGCAAGAGCCGACGCATGGCCGAAGGCACTAAAGACCTCCCTCATTTATTTGAGAGAGGCCCGCCAAGCAGCCGAGGCCGCATCGGCCACGAGCCAAGAGAGTAATGTACGGATACGGGAGAGGACAGTGACAGCCAAGCCCTTTAAAGTCGGGGACCAGGCATGGCTACACTGTCCTCAGGTGCCGGTTGGCCTCTCACCAAAGTTGCACCGACCCTGGAAAGGGCCGGTCGAGGTCATTAAAGCACTCCGACCGCAGTGCGTCCAGGTCCAACTGGGTAAGCGACGATGGTTTGTACACCCCACCCGCCTTAAGCCATACATCTCTCCACCGTCATCTTCACCAACATCACCACCAACATCACTGCCAACATCATCATCATCCCTACCCAGGCCAAGGTCGCCGAGCACCACGCGCCAACCGGCAGGGGGTTCGGTGCCCTGTGTTCCGTTGTCACCTACAGCACCCCATGTGAGGCCTGACGGAGCGGCAGCACGAGCGGGGGCCGGAGAGACAGCGGCGCCAGGCAAGGCGACACCGGCACCACCGAACCAGGGACCGCGACGAGAGGGCCTTCGAAGGAGGGGGCCGCCACGGTCATCTGCTGCCTGTGGATGTCCGGGCTGTTACGGGATGCTGGCTGGAGACCTGGGCAGGCCGCGCAATTGATTTCGTTGTGTTATGTTGCATTGTATGGTTGTGGGGGGGGGGGGGGGGGGGTAAGGGCTGTCGTCACTGTCAGTGGTGGGAGGCATGGGGAGATTTAAATGGTCCATGGGGGAGGCAGAACCGAGGACGGTTATTTTTTCTCCGGGGGGGGGGGGTGATGTAGGGGTGTCAGGGGAAGGATTCCCACCAATAGATGGGTTAGTGGGAGGGGTGATCGAGGAGATATAAGGAGAGAATGGGCGGGAAGAAGGGGCCTTTGGCGGGAACGAGATTGGGACGGCTGGGGGACAGGTGTGGATGGAAGGAAAGGAATAAAGGACAAGACCCCTGCAATCTGGTGTCGGCTCCTACTTTACACAGGTACCACCACTGTCGCACTGCTCTAATCATAGTAGCTTACACCACAGTGTGCATGCACTGCTGTAGGGAAAGCAGGTACCACCACAGTATGCACTGCTGTAGTGATAGTGCATACCGTCGATGTGTGTGTGTTAATCAATGTGTGTGTGTGGTGTGCATGTGTAGATAACTACTCTTTTTTCATTCAGTTACTTTTCACAATAATGCCTGCGTCTAAGTCCATGTGTGCGTGTGGGTCGATGTGCATGTCTGCGGCGATGTGTGTGTGTAAGTCGATGTGTCTGTATTGTGTGAGTCGATGTGTTTGTGTGTGTGAGAAAACTGCTTGCGTTCGGACTTGGCTGACCCCTACCTCGGCCAGGGAGGTGTGCAGTTATATCGGCTTTGCCTCTTATCACCGATTTGTTGCATCTATAGCTAAACCTCTCCACTCCTTGACAGCTAAGGGCCAAACATTTCATCAGGGGGAGGAGGAGGAAGTTGCGTTCCGCTCTATCCGTGATGGGCTGGTTAACGCCCCTCCCCTGCGTTATCCTGACTTTTCGTTGCCGTTCATTTTGGACATGGATGCCAGTAATACCGGCATTGGTGCGGTGTTATCCCAAGTTGTAAATGGCATGGAGCACGTGGTCGGGTATGGCAGCAGGGTGCTGTCTCCAGCCGAGCAGCGGTACTGCATAACGTGCCGGGAGCTACTGGCCATTGTGGTTTTTGCGCAACAATATCGGCCGTATTTGTACGGGCGACACTTCAAGGTGCGCTCTGATCACGCGGCGCTCCAGTACATGCTGCGTGTGGACCAACCATCCGAACAATTGTCACGCTGGCTCGAAATCCTGCAGGATTTTCATTCAATGTCACGTATCGTAAGGGTTCTCACCATATGAATGCCGATGCCCTATCGCGATTGCCAGCAGGCGTGGAGTGTGTTTGTTTTTTGGGTTCGGGTTGTTGTCGACCGGCGGGGTCGACTTCCCCCGCCCCTCTCGTTGCTTCCACCGTGGACATGATGGCAGGGATGGGCAACGTCTCTGCTGCACGGGATGCAATTTTGGGGTTGGACTACGAGGTGTGGAGACGCCGACAGGCGGAGGACGCGTCCCTTCTTAAGTTGCGCCGGCGCGTCAGGGAGACCGCTGATGGCACGGCTCCACGAGGTGTCGCCCTGCGTAGTGAGGTTGTTTGGGCTGTGCATAAACGGTTGTTGCAAAAGACGCTGGCTGCTCTTAAATTGCATTTTTATTGGCCGGTCATGGCCTCCAACGTCAAGGATCTGCTTAAGGGCTGCGTGCAATGTGCTTGGCGGAAGCCGCCAGCGAGATCCTGTTGCCCTCCACTTCAATCCATCCAGGGGTCGCGTATAAATGAAATTGTTGCCCTCAATATTCTCGGGCCTTTTTCTGTTTCTGCGCATGGAAATAGGTACTTGCTTGTGGGCGTTGAGTATTTCTCACGCTGGCCTATGGCCTGGCCGCTCCCGAATCAATCGGCTGTGACTATTATCGAGGCGTTCCTCAATGGCTATGTTCTGGGTAAGGGTGCCCCCGAGCGCCTCTTGACGGATCAAGGCAAAAAAAATTTGTCCAAGCTGCTGCGTGAGGTGTGCGATTTGCTGGGGACGAAAAAGGTACGCACGTCGCTGTACCACCCACAATCGGATGGCATGGTTGAACGCCTACACCGGACTGTGACCTCTATGTTGAGTCACTTGGTCAGCGAGTCACAGGTCGATTGGGATTTTCATATTCCTGCAGTTCTCGCCACTTATAGGATGACCCCTCACGCGTCCACCGGCTACACTCCATTGTTTTTGATGTATGGGAGGGAGTATGATGCCCACCCCGAAGGTGTCCAAAATATCTGATTCAATTCGGTTCACGCTCGTCAAACTTTCCGAGGCGCGGGAAGTTGCCAATGTTAACTCTCGGGGCAAACGGCCAACGAGAGGCTCAAAGGCGCCCGTGTTTCCCTGTGCGATTGGTCGCTGGGGGACAGGGCCTGGTTGCATTGTCCGCAGGTGCCAGTGGGCACATCTCCCAAATTGCTGCAACCATGGAGGTGGCTGGTTGATGTGGTTCGAGTTGTGCGGCCACAGTGTGTCCAGATTCGGTTTGGTAAGTGGAGCTGGTTTGTATACCCCTCGTCTTAAGCCATTTATTGCGCCGTGTGAGTTTGTTTCATCTCCATATCGCAGGGGCCGAGTGTCGGGTGTGCCCGACGAGCTGGGGCGTGCGTCTGCCGACGCGGGTCCTCAGGAGAGTGTTTCTGTTCCGCCCGCAGATGCCGTACGATTGATGCCTCCGATTGATGCCTCGCACGCGGCCGGCTCGTGTTGGCTTCGCGTGCTCTGGACGTGAAGGACCTGACGACCCAGCCTATGGCTCTTTGTGAGGAGCCGGCTTCTTCGGGTTGATTTATTGTTCCCGCGGCCCTTCCACGGCGGTTGAGCCCAACCCGCCTGGAGGACCGACGTCACGGACTCGTTCAAAGACTCGATTCGCGTGATCCTCGCGCATTGCACACTTCCACACCATCATGGGTTGTCGCGCTCGCACGAGTCATGGTGAGTATTTGGCTGATCCTGCTCGCCATCGAGCTCACGGACATTGTTACACATTGTGGGTGGGAGATGTTGATTGTGGGGATCTTTAACGACGCGATTGTTAATTATTTTCTTTTCTCTCTCCGTGTATATGTTGTACAGTTGGGTTTGGGTAATTCTTCACGTTGTTCTGTTATTGTTGGAGCACACTTGTTGTTCTTTATAATTGTACGTCGGTTGCTTACTTGCGGGGGGAGTTGGCAGCCGGGGTGGCTGGTGATATCTGTCTGCTTATATGTCTGTCTATAGTTTTCTGGTTAGATTTTTGTTTGCTATTTCATTTATACCTGATGATGATTGCTTGTGTTGCAATCGAAACGTCGTATGCTATTATTTAATTTATTATTTGATCTTTATACGTGACTTTACCGAAAGAACCAAAGAGTAATTCCTGCACTACGAAAGCTCCAAATTTAAGATAAAATTTACAATTTAAAAACAAAACTGCTATCAACATAACTAACGTTAAATTACCTGGCAATATGGTATCATTCCTGTCTAAAAGTCTTAACTTTATTTGTTGGCCCACGCATAATCCCTGTCGATGAGATAATTGCTGAATTGGAATCAACAGTTAGACATCTCCCACATAATCAAGCTGAGATGACTAGGCTTGAGGTTGCCAAAATGATTGAGAACAGTAAATTGACAAAAACAAATTAACGTCAGTCAGGCAAAAGCCTCAAGAGAATTGAGAGCAAATAAAGATATCCAAATTCTTGCTGCAGATAAGGGCCGATCAACTATGATAATAAACATCATGGGACGTCCTTTGCCACATCTTAACACCTATTCTCAAAATATGAGAATAGGTGTTAAGATGTTAAAACATCATAACACCTGTTTTGTTTCCAGAAACAAGGGGAAAACCTACGATAATAAAATCAAAGATTTACTCGATGAAGATACCTACCTTAAAATTAAATGAGACCCAACCAACTCCTTGGAACGTAAAACAACGGCAATCATTGCCAAGTCATCAATTCCCAAGGAAGAGCAATATCTGATCAAACCAAGGGCGTTAAAACCACCAATACGTTATGGGCTACCAAAGATTCACAAACTTGATGTCCCATTAAGACCCATAGTACAATAGGCTCTGCCACATACAAATTAGCACAATGCATAAAGAAACAAATTAAGCTCTACATCGGTAGGACGTTAGGACATCTTTGTTCATTGAAAACTCAGAACATCTCGTAAATATAATTAAATATATTAAGCCTAACCTTAATGATATTTTCAGAAGTTTTCATGTGACTTCCTGTTCACAAGGGTCCCGGTCAACAAATTAATTAAATTACTCGATACTCTGGTAACAAACAGGTTTAGCAAACGATATCCCACGACTAGCTGAACACTGTCTAAAGAACACCTTTTTCTTGTGGAAAGGTAATTTCTATAAATTAAAGGAAGGAGCAGCAATGGGCTCTACTTTGTCTCCAGTGATTGCGAATTTGTACATGGAAGATTTGTAAGCAAAAGCAATAGCTTAAAGCACAATAAAACCCACTGCTTGGTTTAGATATGTGGATAAGACATTGGTGGTCTGGCCACATGGCAAAAATACACTTAACGAATTTCGAAATCATCTCAACTCGCAAAACCCATCCATCCAGTTTACCATGGAAGTGGAAGTTAACAGAACTCTCCCATTTCTGGATATTATGCTCAGGCACGGCCGAAATGGTAAAATAACACAGCATTTAGCGAAATAAAATGCACACTGACGATTATCTGAAAACAGAGCCATACCATTACCCTGCACAGAAATCCTCTCTCATCAAGATGCTCGTAAATCAGGCTAAGAAAGTGTCAGATGGTGATAGTCTGAGAAGTGAAATTAAACATGTTAAAGAAGTGCTGCAATTGAACGGTTACAATGATACACAAATAAAAAGGGCACTGAATGCCAACACCAAATAAAATAACACGAGTGTTGAAACTGATCAAGTATTCAAAACCATAAAAATACTGTACATCCCACGAGTAACTGATAAACTAGCCAGATTTTTGGAGAAACAAAACATCCGAGTCGGATTTGGAAACTAATATCTAGTGCTAAAGATGTATTACCGAAACTATCAACAGAAGGTGTGTACCGGATTAATTGCTTTTGTGCCAAATGCTATGTTGGGCAGATAGGACGAATGGTCAGCATGAAACTAAAAGAACACCAAATAAATATTAAATAATCCGAAATACAACTGTCGGCAGTGGCAAAACAAGCGTGCCAACAAGCCAACAAGGACACTCTTTTGATTTTGATAATGTTGAAGTTCTGTGCAAAACTAGTTACTACTGGCCATGACTAATTAGATAATCTATCGAAATTGAGAGAAATAAAAATTATTGCAACCATTCGGATAGCTACAGGCTTAGTGCTGCTTGGAAGTGAATCATCAAATAATACATTGTTTAAATGCATGCCTATTCAGGTGACCATACGTCAATGGGGATTGCCTGTGAGCAGACAATAACAGGCACTGCTATTTTAATGCACAAAAACGACAGGAGGTACAATAATAATGTACATGTATAATGCACGTTAATTACCATATGAATGGGTACCTATTGTAATTTACATGCATTCATTAATGCCCCCCCTCCCTTCGCACGTGAAGGGCTCACAAGTGACGCCATCACATCTATTCCTCTATTTAAGGAACGAAATAGGAGGATTTATAAATCTGGCTGCTGCCTGATGATGCTAGTTATAATTACTGGCGAAATGTCGTACTAAGATTGTAAATGTTGTGGATTTGCTCTCCAACGCACCGGTGTGCTGTAGCAGTAACAAATTGGCACGCTCTGTTAACGTGACAAACCTTACTCATTAGCTGTGTCGCGTGGTGGCGGGTTTAACGACGCATTTATATTTATGCGATCTAACCCAAAAACCTCGATTACGGATCTCAATACAATCGAGTGCACCACCTCCAATCCTGATTCCCGCACCACACCACAGCCAACTCCCTCTTTCTCTCCAAGTCAAGTGACTGCATTGTTACAAAGTCATCACAAGTGTCACTTGGGCGCCAGCTCTCCCCATGTCTGAAGAACTTCAAATCGCAACATTCAGCGATGTCTCACAACCCTGGCATGTACAGAGGGAAAAAAGTATTTGATCCCCTGCTGATTTTGTACGTTTGCCCACTGACAAAGAAATGATCAGTCTATAATTTTAATGGTAGGGTTATTTGAACAGTGAGAGACAGAATAACAACAAAAAATCCAGAAAAATGCATGTTAAAAATGTTATAAATTGATTTGCATTTTAATTAGGGAAATAAGTATTTGACCCCCTCTCAATCAGAAAGATTTCTGGCTCCCAGGTGTCTTTTATACAGGTAATGAGCTGAGATTAGGAGCACACTCTTAAAGGGAGTGCTCCTAATCTCAGCTTGCTACCTGTATAAAAGACACCTGTTCACAGAAGCAATCAATCAGATTCGAAACTCTCCACCATGGCCAAGACCAAAGAGCTCTCCAAGGATGTCAGGGACAAGATTGTAGACCTACACAAGGCTGGAATGGGCTACAAGACCATCGCCAAGCAGCTTGGTGAGAAGGTGACAACAGTTGGTGCGATTATTCGCAAATGGAAGAAACACAAAAGAACTGTCAATCTCCCTCGGCCTGGGGCTCCATGCAAGATCTCACCTCGTGGAGTTGCAATGATCATGAGAACGGTGAGGAATCAGCCCAGAACTACACGGGAGGATCTTGTCAATGATCTCAAGGCAGCTGGGACCATAGTCACCAAGAAAACAGTTGGTAACACACTACGCCGTGAAGGACTGAAATCCTGCAGCACCCACAAGGCCCCCCTGCTCAAGAAAGCACGTATACATGCCCGTCTGAAGTTTGCCAATGAACATCTGAATGATTCAGAGGACAACTGGGTGACAGTGTTGTGGTCAGATGAGACCAAAATGAAGCTCTTTGGCATCAACTCAACTCGCCGTGTTTGGAGGAGGAGGAATGCTGCCTATGACCCCAAGAACACCATCCACACCGTCAAACATGGAGGTGGAAACATTATGCTTTGGGGGTGTTTTTCTGCTAAGGGGATAGGACAACTTCACCGCATCAAAGGGACGATGGACGGGGCCATGTACCGTCAAATCTTGGGTGAGAACCTCCTTCCCTCAGCCAGGGCATTGAAAATGGGTCGTGGATGGTTATTCCAGCATGACAATGACCAAAAACACACGGCCAAGGCAACAAAGGAGTGGCTCAAGAAGAAGCACATTAAGGTCCTGGAGTGGCCTAGCCAGTTTCTAGTCCTTAATCCCATAGAAAATCTGTGGAGGGAGCTGAAGGTTCGAGTTGCTAAACGTCAGCCTCGAAACCTTAATGCCTTGGAGAAGATCTGCAAAGAGGAGTGGGACAAAATCCCTCCTGAGATGTGTGCAAACCTGGTGGCCAACTATTAGAAACGTCTGACCTCTGATTGCCAACAAAGGTTTTGCCACCAAGTACTAAGTCATGTTTTGCAGAGGGGTCAAATACTTATTTCCCTCATTAAAATGCAAATCAATGTATAACATTTTTTACATGCGTTTTTCTGGATTTAGTTGTTGTTATTCTGTCTCTCACTGTTCAAATAAACCTACCATTAAAATTATAGACTGATCATTTATTTGTCAGTGGGCGAATGTACAAAATCACCAGGGGATCAAATACTTTTTTCCCTCACTGTAAAATGAAAATAAACAATGTCGCCTTTCTTCACTCCACATTGATGAGTTATTTCCCCCCAGTGATTTCAGAATCTGATTATTTATTTACGCTGGAGGAATCCGATGAGCTCCTCCTAAGCTCTCTTTCACACGCGTCCAGTTTACTCACAGTGCCCGCAGCACTCAAGAGGCAAGCCGCCACAGCTGGCCCTGGGCATGTCGCTAGTGAGATGGAGCGTGACCCCGTTCCTGTCCTCACCCAGTGGGGACGGGACGCTGCTCCACATGAGCACCGCGGGCACCCGAACTTCTCCTTCGGGCGGCCCAGTTGGTCCCAAGGCAGCCGGCGTGCCCGGCAGAGGAGGAGGACGAGGAGGTGGAGGAGGATGAGGTGGAGTCCGCGGGCCGCGCCACCCGTGGGCACTTGGACCGGCGGCGATCTCGCGAGTGGCCTCCTCATGGGTCGCGAGCTTCGTCAATGTGACTGCTGCTCGTTCGTCTGCTCCGTTTGGGTCCCTGTGGGTAGTGTTGGGGCCTTGTGAAGGCAGTGATGGGTCTCTGTGGGTGCTCTGAGGGTCTTGTGAAGGCGGTGATGGGTCCCTGTGGGTACTTTGAGGGCCTTGTGAAGGCAGTGATGGGTCTCTGTGGGTACTCTGAGGGTCTTGTGAAGGCGGTGATGGGTCCCTGTGGGTGCTCTGAGGGTCTTGTGAAGGCAGTGATGGGTTTCTGTGGGTACTCTGAGGGTCTTGTGAAGGTGGTGATGGGTCTCTGTGGGTACTCTGAGGGCTTTGTGAAGGCAGTGATGGGTTTCTGCGGGTACTCTGAGGGTCTTGTGAAGGCGGTGATGGGTCCCTGTGGGTACTCTGGGGGTCTTGTGAAGGCAGTGATGAGTTTCTGTGGGTACTCTGGGGGTCTTGTGAAGGCAGTGATGGGTCCCTGTAGGTACTCTGGGGGTCTTGTGAAGGCAGTGATGGGTCCCTGTGGGTACTCTGAGGGCCTTGTGAAGGCAGTGATGGGTCCATGTGAGTACTCTGGGGGTCTTGTGAAGGCAGTGATGGGTCTCTGTGGGTACTCTGAGGGCCTTGTGAAGGGGGTGATGGGTCCCTGTGGGTACTCTGAGGGCCTTGTGAAGGCAGTGATGGGTCTCTGTGAGTACTCTGAGGGCCTTGTGAAGGCGGTGATGGGTCCCTGTGGGTACTCTGAGGGCCTTGTGAAGGCAGTGATGGGTATCTGTGGGTACTCTGAGGGTCTTGTGAAGGCGGTGATGGGTCCCTGTGGGTACTCTGAGGGCCTTGTGAAGGCGTTGATGGGTCCCTGTGGGTACTCTGAGGGTCTAGTGAAGGCAGTGATGGGTCTCTGTGAGTACTCTGAGGGTCTTGTGAAGGCAGTGATGGGTCTCTGTGGGTACTCTGAGGGCCTTGTGAAGGCGGTGATGGGTCCCTGTGAGTACTCTGAGGGCCTTGTGAAGGCAGTGATGGGTCTCTGTGGGTACTCTGAGGGTCTTGTGAAGGCGGTGATGGGTCCCTGTGAGTACTCTGAGGGCCTTGTGAAGGCGGTGATGGGTCTCTGTGAGTACTCTGAGGGTCTTGTGAAGGCAGTAATGGGTCTCTGTGAGTACTCTGAGGGCCTTGTGAAGGCAGTGATGGGTCTCTGTAAGTACTCTGAGGGCCTTGTGAAGGCAGTGATGGGTCTCTGTGGGTACTCTGAGGGTCTTGTGAAGTCAGTGATGGTTCCCTGTGAGTACTCTGAGGGTCTTGTGAAGGCAGTGATGGTTCCCTGTGGGTACTCTGAGGGCCTTGTGAAGGCAGTGATGGGTCTCTGTGAGTACTCTGAGGGCCTTGTGAAGGCAGTGATGGGTCTCTGTGAGTACTCTGAGGGTCTTGTGAAGGCAGTGATGGTTCCCTGTCGGTACTCTGAGATCCTTGTGAAGGCAGGGATGGGTCTCTGTGGGTACTCTGAGGGTCTTGTGAAGGCGGTGATGGGTCTCTGTGGGTACTCTGAGGGCCTTGTGAAGGCAGTGATGGGACCCTGTGGGTGCTCTGAGGGCCTTGTGAAGGCGGTGATGGGTCCCTGTGGGTACTCTGAGGGCCTTGTGAAGGCAGTGATGGGTCCCTGTGGGTACTCTGAGGGCCTTGTGAAGGCAGTGATGGGTATCTGTGGGTACTCTGAGGGTCTTGTGAAGGCGGTGATGGGTCCCTGTGGGTACTCTGAGGGCCTTGTGAAGGCGGTGATGGGTCCCTGTGGGTACTCTGAGGGTCTAGTGAAGGCAGTGATGGGTCTCTGTGAGTACTCTGAGGGCCTTGTGAAGGCGGTGATGGGTCCCTGTGGGTACTCTGAGGGTCTTGTGAAGGCAGTGATGGGTCTCTGTGGGTACTCTGAGGGCCTTGTGAAGGCGGTGATGGGTCCCTGTGAGTACTCTGAGGGCCTTGTGAAGGCAGTGATGGGTCTCTGTGGGTACTCTGAGGGTCTTGTGAAGGCGGTGATGGGTCCCTGTGAGTACTCTGAGGGCCTTGAGAAGGCGGTGATGGGTCCCTGTGAGTACTCTGAGGGTCTTGTGAAGGCAGTGATGGTTCCCTGTGGGTACTCTGAGGGCCTTGTGAAGGCAGTGATGGGTCTCTGTGAGTACTCTGAGGGTCTTGTGAAGGCAGTGATGGTTCCCTGTAAGTACTCTGAGGGTCTTGTGAAGGCAGTGATGGTTCCCTGTGGGTACTCTGAGGGCCTTGTGAAGGCGGTGATGGGTCTCTGTGAGTACTCTGAGGGTCTTGTGAAGGCAGTAATGGGTCTCTGTGAGTACTCTGAGGGCCTTGTGAAGGCAGTGATGGGTCTCTGTAAGTACTCTGAGGGCCTTGTGAACGCAGTGATGGGTCTCTGTGGGTACTCTGAGGGTCTTGTGAAGGCAGTGATGGTTCCCTGTGAGTACTCTGAGGGTCTTGTGAAGGCAGTGATGGTTCCCTGTGGGTACTCTGAGGGCCTTGTGAAGGCAGTGATGGGTCTCTGTGAGTACTCTGAGGGTCTTGTGAAGGCAGTGATGGTTCCCTGTCGGTACTCTGAGATCCTTGTGAAGGCAGGGATGGGTCTCTGTGGGTACTCTGAGGGTCTTTTGAAGGCGGTGATGGGTCTCTGTGGGTACTCTGAGGGCCTTGTGAAGTCAGTGATGGGACCCTGTGGGTGCTCTGAGGGCCTTGTGAAGGCGGTGATGGGTCCCTGTGGGTACTCTGAGGGCCTTGTGAAGGCAGTGATGGGTCCCTGTGGGTACTCTGAGGGCCTTGTGAAGGCGATGATGGGTCCCTGTGGGTACTCTGGGGGCCTTGTGAAGGCGGTGATGGGTCCCTGTGGGTACTCTGGGGGCCTTGTGAAGGCGGTGATGGGTCCCTGTGGGTACTCTGGGGGCCTTGTGAAGGCAGTGATGGGTCTCTGTGGGAACTCTGAGGGCCTTGTGAAGGCAGTGATGGGTCTCTGTGGGTACTCTGAGGGCCTTGTGAAGGCGGTGATGGAACCCTGTGGGTACTCTGAGGGTCTTGTGAAGGCAGTGATGGTTCCCTGTCGGTACTCTGAGATCCTTGTGAAGGCAGGGATGGGTCTCTGTGGGTACTCTGAGGGTCTTTTGAAGGCGGTGATGGGTCTCTGTGGGTACTCTGAGGGCCTTGTGAAGGCAGTGATGGGACCCTGTGGGTGCTCTGAGGGCCTTGTGAAGGCGGTGATGGGTCCCTGTGGGTACTCTGAGGGCCTTGTGAAGGCAGTGATGGGTCCCTGTGGGTACTCTGAGGGCCTTGTGAAGGCGATGATGGGTCCCTGTGGGTACTCTGGGGGCCTTGTGAAGGCGGTGATGGGTCCCTGTGGGTACTCTGGGGGCCTTGTGAAGGCGGTGATGGGTCCCTGTGGGTACTCTGGGGGCCTTGTGAAGGCAGTGATGGGTCTCTGTGGGAACTCTGAGGGCCTTGTGAAGGCAGTGATGGGTCTCTGTCGGTACTCTGAGGGCCTTGTGAAGGCGGTGATGGAACCCTGTGGGTACTCTGAGGGCCTTGGGAAGGCAGTGATGGGTCCCTGTGGGTACTCTGAGGGTCTTTTGAAGGCAGTGATGGGACCCTGTGGGTGCTCTGAGGGCCATGTGAAGGGAGTGATGGGTCCCTGTGGGTACTCTGAGGGCCTTGTGAAGACGGTGATGGGTCTCTGTGGGTACTCTGAGGGTCTTGTGAAGGCAGTGATGGGTCTCTGTGGGTACTCTGAGGGCCTTGTGAAGGCAGTGATGGTTCCCTGTGGGTACTCTGAGGGCCTTGTGAAGGCGGTGATGGGTCTCTGTGGGTACTCTGAGGGTCTTGTGAAGGCAGTGATGGGTCCCTGTGGGTACTCTGAGGGCCTTGTGAAGGCAGTGATGGGTCTCTGTGGGTACTCTGAGGGTCTTGTGAATGCAATGATGGGTCTCTGTGGGTACTCTGAGGGCCTTGTGAAGGCAGTGATGGGTCTCTGTGGGTACTCTGAGGGCCTTGTGAAGGCGGTGATGGGTCTCTGTGGGTACTCTGAGGGCCTTGTGAAGGCAGTGATGGTTCCCTCTGGGTACTTTGATGGCTTTGTGAAGACAGTGATGGGTCCCTGTGGGTACTCTGAGGGCCTTGTGAAGGCGATGATGGGTCCCTGTGGGTACTCTGGGGGCCTTGTGAAGGCAGTGATTGTTTCCTGTGAGTACTCTGAGGGCCTTGTGAAGTCGGTGATGGGTCCCTGTGGGTACTCTGGGGGCCCTGTGAAGGCAGTGATGGGACCCTGTAAGTACTCTGAGGGCCTTGTGAAGGCAGTGATGGGTCCCTGTGGGTACTCTGAGGGCCTTGTGAAGGCAGTGATGGGACCCTGTGTGTACTCTGAGGGCCTTGTGAAGGCGGTGATGGGACCCTGTAAGTACTCTGGGGGCCCTGTGAAGGCAGTGATGGGTCCCTGTGGGTACTCTGAGGGCCTTGTGAAGGCAGTGATGGGTCCCTGTGGGTACTCTGGGGGCCCTGTGAAGGCAGTGATGGGTCCCTGTGGGTACTCTGGGGGCTATGCAATGGCAGTGTTGGGTCCCTGTGAGTGCTCTGCAGTATTTGGGAACCTCGTGAAGGCAGTGATGGGTCTCTGCGGGTGCTGTGAGTTATTTGAGGGCTCTGTAATCCCACATCTGGTGTGCTCGAAGGACCGAGGCTCGTTGCGCGCGGGGTGTCGACGGAAGGGTGCGCGATTAACGCGGCACCGATAGTGGGCCCGAAGGGTGACTGTGGGTTCCATGGCCCAGCCGAGCGTTGCTGCTGTTGCGTGCGTGAAAGCCACAGCAGCTCCTGCTGCTGCCTGTAGATGAGCGAGTGCGTGGGCAGGGTTTGCGGTAGAGCTGGCGGCCTTCGTGAGGAGGAAGCGGAGGCGAAGGGACCTTGAGTCTGGGTGTCGCGCCACACAGTGGCACCGTGAGCGGGCGATGTCGTGGCTTTCACTTTCTTCAGCGCTACCGAATCGTCTGCAGTCGCACAGATGTTAAAGCAAAAGTACACGAGGATATATATGTATATATGAAATGGGGTTTATCAAAAAGATGTCATCTGTGTGTGAGAACCATCAATTGCAAAAGCTCAAGATAATATTCAACTCACCCAAATTGTTATATATGCCTGAGAATTGTAATCTCATCTGTGCCTCCAAAACAATACCTGTCAACCCATTATCAGTACATTTCGTAATACAGACCAATTCAGACCTTATTTCCCTCATAAAATCTTAAAGTTTATCTTACAAAGTCCCATCACAAGGAAAAACACAAACAAATTTACCAAACCCTACCTCCCTCCATTATTTGTTTGCCCTTAAAACGCAATTTCCCTGTACAAAAAGACGTGTGAACCGTAAAGGTTGACAGGTATGTAAAACAATAAGATCTTTTAGTCGATTGCATTGCTCAGAGTCATGATGACGTTACTCTTTGACAGGGATTTATAAATTGCTCCGTTATATTGCAAATTCTGCGTTAATTTAAGGTGAATATGATATGCTGAAGTATAAACATTAATCTTTAACTTATAGTACTGTAAGTGCTTTTGTAAGTCAATGTGACTTCCCTAACGTGCGAATGTTCTCTAATCTCCTTTTCCCCCCACCTCTCTCTGTCTCGCAATGCCATTCCCACCACGGATTTCTCCTCGCTTCTCTGCACACTTTTCATCTTTTGTTTCACATTCTTGGCCGCTGTCCAACGTGTCCGATCAGTCTGTCTCAGCAGGCCGCATGCACTGATAGGGAACTTTATACTCTGGGCACATCGCCACCTTGCTTTTCATTACCAGTGGCGAGGAGATGTTAACTACCTCGCCTGGCATACTGAAGGTCGTGGGGATCGATCCCGACCCTGACCCCTGCTGTATATTTGGATTTTGCTTGTCTCTCTCCCCATGGTCACGTGGATTTTTCCCTGGGTCCTCCCGGTTTTCACTCCACATTTTAGAATAAACGTGCGTTTAGAGTATTTGGCTGCTATACATTTCCACACAATAAGCCACTTCGTTGAGCTATAATTTCTTTCTTAAGAAGATGCGACCTGGCTCAGATGGTCTTGTTAAAATAAAAATAAAAATTAGCACATTCACTTTGCATTGTGAACACATTACAAACAGGCAGTTTATAAAATAAATATGCTAATAATACAAAGAATACATCTCTTTCACATATCTGTCCCTCTGCATAAAAGTGATCATATTTTTTTTGTTTACACGTCTCATCAGTAACGCAGCCTTCTGCGAATACCGAATGCCGTGTGCTCGTATCCACCATGTTCACACAACGCCTATGCATCGGCGCCTGAGCGAGTGAGATGTTTGTTGGGACCTGCTGCACTCGCGTGATCATAATCGTCGTGTACAAACTATCTGACTGTCCGCCGCTCGCGGTGACTTACGGAAAAGTGCAGTTTTTAATTAACTGGCCGATATTTCTTACAAGTATCCGCACGTTCTTGCGGATTTCCAGCCTGCGTTATTTTGCCTGTTGGCTTCAGATTGCACGACCTTGCTTGCAGTGCCTCCCTTACGCAGTGGCGGCGTCGTCGGCGGCGTCGGCGTCACGCACTGGCTCCCCAGCTGCTCGTAGCCCAGGCAGCACTCGGACACGTTGCGGCTGCTCTGGTAGTCCTGCAGGGTGTACGCCATGCGGTACGTGAGCTTGTAGCACAGGCGCCAGAACCAGCCGTACACGCAGGGGGCCTGCACCCTCACCGCCACCGCCGTCACGGCCACCGTGCGCGTACCGTTGTACTGCTGCTCGCGCGAGCACACGTGGTGGCCCGCCAGCGTCGGCGGCGGGATTGCTGGCACGCCACCAGGGGGGGGGGGGGGTGACCGGGCAACAAATGTTAGATTATTTTTTGGGTCTTTCGATAAAGTCACGGAGATAGGTTCAAAAAGAAACAACAAAAACTACACGACATTTCGATTGCAACACCCGATGACGATCGCATGTGTTGCGATCGACACGTCGTGTAGTTTTTTTGTTTGGTTTAATTTTTTGAACCTATCTACGCGACTTTACCGAAAGACCGAAAGAATATGAATTCCTGCAGTCACGAAAGCTTCAAGTCAAGATTTAAACGTTAGATTCTCTGGCCGGCATGGCCTATTGAAATATCGCGACACGAACTCTTTTTCTCTCCTGAAGCCCTATCGTCGTGGCTAGCGGACCTTGACACTGGCATTTTTCTTCTAATTCGTGTTGTGCCTCTCTGAATCTTATCCTGCTACCCGTGTTTTCTTTCATTATCTCTGTCCCTTTTACGCAGGATCCCTTCAGACATTGTAAAAGGACACCTAATGAGTTTCTAATTAATGTTATTGTTGTTTAGCTATTCACTATATTACTGCCATCATACTCAAGAATAGAGTATAGGTTGAGAGTAAGGGTTGCCACCTATCCATCCGGGTTTGACCCGGACTGTCCAGGAGTTGGCATCTGTGCTCGGGTGGCAGGAGTGGAGGATGATGATGATGATGATGCTAGTTTGCGCACGGTGTCGCGACGCACTCCTTTTCTGTCACCTCATTGGCAAATGGCCCATGTACTCCCGACAGCTACGGTTTGAGAATCGTAAATATCTCAACTCGGTAGTCGGAGTTATTTATTTAGTGCCTCGCCACGGCTCTATTTACATGGAGTTTCGGGCGCTTAACAAAAACAGATCTCAGACAAACTACACAGTCATGAAACGTGTATTCTGACAAACTATTTGACCTGTGCCGTGCTAACAAATGCATGGAAAATTAATGAACAGCAGTTATCACCAACGCAAGAAAGCAAAGAGATGCAGTAGGATGCGTGCAAGAAACTGGATGAACTGACAACTAATTTTATATATTAACAGACTTCATACTCTTAGATTCTTTCGGTAAAGTCACATAGGTATAAAATAAAATAAATTAAATCACGACGTTTCGATTGCAACACAAGCAATCATCATCAGGTGGGAAACCCACAGCAAGAAAATGTTTTGCTGAAGTGGGAGAGAGAGTTGCCGTGGTAAGAAGTTATATAGGTAAGAAGGGGGGAGGATCAAGGGGGGAGAGGGAGGGGTGGGGTGTAGTGTGGGGTAGGGGGAGCGCTGCGTGGACGCCAGGAGAGGGACGCGAGGGTGCTACTCTATTTTGTTCCCCTCCGCATCCCCAGCTCTATACTCTTAGGTTTTTTCGGTAAAGTCACGTAGGTAAAACATTTAATTAAAATTTATAAAAGTAAAATAAAAAATCACGACGTTTCGGAGGCAACACAAGCTTCCGTCTTCAGGTGGAACCGTCACAGCACGATTGCTGTATCATTACATTGGGGAAACGAAACGACATGTCTCGGACCGCATTCGTGAACACAAAGCGGATTTGAAACACAGTAGGACCAGTACCTCTGCCGTTGCTGATCATTGTTTTAACGCTGTGGGCTCACAATAAATGTATTTTTCCAAGACGGAGGTACTCTGCAAACCTACCGGCTATCTTCAGAGATTTGTTCATGAAGCCATCCAGATATATATACACAGACACAACTTCAACCGAGAAGATGGGTACAAACTGAGCAATCATTGGATGGACGTTATTACCCAGGTAAAGTCTTAACTGACTGTGATGTTTCCATCCTACCTGCCTATGTCAGCTGTTATTTCCGACTCTCTGTGTCTCTCTCTTTGGATTGCACTGTCATGTTCACGTCCTTGAATTGCACTCTCATGGTGCTAATCTCTCATTAACACTGCTGTTGTGCGCATATGCAGGCATGATACTCTTATGCAGCGACGGAAGCTCATTCATGCTAATCTCCCTCCCTAATCCCTCTCTCCATAATCCCTCTCTCCCTAATCCCCCATTAACACAACTGAGGTGCTTGCGTCCGGGGGTGGAATTCCTTTCCAGCTCAGACCCCGCTTGTTTGCCCATTGCCACGTATATAACCTTGTTGTAGCTGCTCTCTCGCTAGTTCAGCAGTTCCACTGCTGGATTATATTTTTCCGCCTGAGGACGACCGCTTGTGTTGCGATCGAAACGTCGTGATTTATTTTATTTTATACCTACGTGACTTTACCGAAAGAACCAAAGAGTATGGATTCCTGCAGTCACAAAAGCTTCGAATCAAGATTAAACTATTTACTTACCAGGTAAGGCCCACTGAGCTATGCAGCTCTTTTTCAGCAGCTACCTGGCCACAAAGTGGTTCATCACGTGGACATGTCTAGCAGCCAAATAGTCTAAACGTGTGATGCTGATTCTAAATGTGAAGGAAAAACCCAGAGGACCTGGAGAAAAATCCACGCGACCACGGGGAGAACATGCAATCTCCATATATACAGGCGTCGAAATTGAAGCCACGACATCCTCCATACCAGACGTGAGAGATAACATCTCGCCACCTTGTCGCCCCCATGAATTAAACATTTGAATGTGTTTAATAAGAAGAACATGTTTAATAAGAGCAGAATTGCTCATGAATTCAATAAGAACCTTCATGAAGATATTGATATTATTATGGTTAACGAAAAATATCTTACCTGTGGTCACGTTAGTTCCTTCCGCGATGCCAAAATTCTCCTCAGAGTTACAGACCACCGCGATCATTAAGATGACTGCACTCAATGTCTGTGCCATCACTTTCGCATCCATTGTGTTGTCACTGTGATCACATTCGACTGTGGTTCTGTGCGGCTACCTTGAATAACACACGGACGCGTTGTTACGGTCGGACTTATTCCGTGATGATGACACCACAACCATCGCCGCCACGGCTTCGTGTGTGAATGATCCGATCCTCAGATCAGTTCTGTTCTTCTCCCGTCCTCGACACGACCCCTCCCACGCACCACCACCCCGTCTCTCCCACTGCCACCCTTCGACCTCCGTTCGCATTGACCGCGTGCGTGGGACCCAGCAGGAGTGTCCAGGCGACAGAGAAGCGCTTCGTCAAGTCGGCTGCCATCGCAATATCAAATAACAGCCGTCGGAGCTACTGCTGCTGCCAAAGAGTTCCATCTGTCATCGTCACTGGAAAGGGACTTTACACAGAACGACCGGGATGACGTCCCACAGGCCGACGGATGATTATACAATCGCGCGAATGGCTGCTTCCGTGGACATCCACAGGACGTAGGCTTGTGGAACGTTTGACATTCTCCACAGCGACGCCGATTGTCATGTTGCGTTACTTCTTGCAGACACCTTGGGAGGCCTCTCCTCTCACCTGCTCTCGTAGTCTCAGAGATGTCTCGCAACACAGCGGTCATCACAGATCAAGCACATCGGCATTTTGAAGATAATTAATCGCGTGTTAAAATATATGTGCGGTATTACTGCCTGGGCCGAAACCATCACAACGGGCTGTGCTTTTGGTAAACGGAGTGACGGGTCCGGCACGCGGCTGCCCCTCTCACCGTTGTCAAACTTCTGATTTAAAACTCTCGCGCGTGTACAGCCACTGCAACGCTGGCAGCTGGTGGAGTGCGTTCCACACGGACCGGCTGGGTGCACGTCTTTATTTACGTGTCTATTTTAGAGTCAGTGTGGTGTGTTCGACCGGGCGGAGTGGTAGTATAGCGGTTAGCGTGCTGCGCTACAAACCCGGCTACCCGAGTTCGATTCCCGCTCACGGCCAACACCGATTGCAATTATCTGAACCGGTACTGGGCCTCCTTTAGGTTGACTCAACCTCAAATGAGTACCCAGTGCGGTGTGTAGACATAGTCACTGGGGAGACAAAAGCTGTTGGGCGTGGTGCTGGCCACCCCAACCCCTCGTGTGCTGTGCCGGCCTTCATAGGTGATCCTACAGTCTATTAAGGCTATATAGGGGAATTTTGTCTTTGTTTGACTGGAGGGGAGGGGGGGGGGTGATACTTAATGTTATTATTTATTTACTCAGGAAAGCCACACCGAGTCCGATAACTATTTTTCAGGAAGTCCTGCCCCTGCATTGGTGTTTTATTTTAAGATGTTTTCAGCTCCAGTAGATGACGAGTTGTGTTTATTTTACAAGTGGGAGGAAGCCGTGGCACCCGTGGGACCCAGATAAATCCCATACCTTGCACGATGGGGCAACACTCGATCTCCGTACAGATGGAAACAGACGGAGATTGGTCCTCTTGATGTACTGATACTCATTGCACGAATGCAAACTGCGTACGTTGTAGATTGTACACATTTGATAGTGTGCCGCTGTGCGCTTTTTATGGGACAATCGCTGCATAGCCCTTGCACACGAGACTTTCCAGCTCAGGGGGTTTTCCAGGCGAAACATCTAAAATAATAATGGTAATCACATTACAGGTTGTTTTTCCTGGGTTCGACCCCAGGTTCTTAGTGGTGCTGGCTCAGTCGCTGTCTGTCCCCTGGGTCAACTGGTATCACTCTTTCCTCAAAGGTGCGTCTAAGCTAAAAGTTTTTTTATTATCTCAGGCAAGGCCCACTGAGCTATATAGCTCTTTTTCAGAAGCGACATGGCCACAAATGTTAGCTCAAGGAAGTCGCTTATCGTGTGGAAATGTATAGCAGCCAAATACTCTAAACGCATTTTGATTATAAATGTGGAGGGAAAAACCGGAGGACCCGGAGAAAAATCGACGCGACCTCTGGGAGAGAGACACGCAAACTCCACATCAAAATGCGCAACTTTAAATAAATATAGACAACACGTTCTACTTAATTAAATACACTTTTTAATAAATGTTTTCTCCTACAACATCAGAGTGCAGCGAACCATTAAATACGCACTACAATGACAATAGTTTAAAGCGATTTGAAGCATGTTTAATTTTGGGGGGGGGGGGGGGGGGGGCAGAGCTTTGTGACGTCATATTTGAGGGGGGGGGGGTCTGACCTTTGTGACGCCGTGTGACGAAGGGGGGGGGGGGGGGTCAAAAATCGTTCAAAATCGCGTGACGTCATTTATGGACGGCCCCTAATCGGAGGTGCGGGGGAAGGACAACAAACTAAACACAAAAAGCAGTTATAAAGAAATGAGTTTTCAATCTAGTTCATTGAAAAGTGCTTAGCTCCCAGTGGCTTCCTGAATCGGGGAAGCCTCACTGAGTCTCATGACTCTTTCTAGTGGGTGCTGCCACGTTTTGCAGTTGGAAGTGATGATTTCTCTTTACATTCCAGTTGAGTAATTTTGACCGCGACACCGGTACACAATGGCCTACCTACTCTTGTGAACGATGTCGCGGGATCTTTAACAATCACCAAGCGCACGGCGTGCGTTTTGTCTATGGGACTTTTTTTTAGCCAGTTTAAAACAGATGTTCAGATGTTCAAACACTAAAGATACCTTTTACAAGGCATAAAGTCTGCACTAACCACACGTGTGACAAAACATGCAAACAAAACATGCTCTGATAATATAGGCATTGTCTTTCAAACTTATTGGCCTACACCAGAGACAGCCTTCTTTACGGCCTAGTCTCGCCAGTGTTAGATCAGAGAACAGGCAAAAGGCGAACAGCACAACGATCAATTGCAATGATCAATACACCTGCGGTGTTAATCGGGGCGACCGTTGGGCTTCAACTGTGAACCTCTGCGACTAGTGGCGAACTCGCTACCACTGGCCCACGCCACTGGCCACAAAGATGAGGGCTTCGTGAATGAGGGATTCGTAGAGGTCACACCCGGAGCACTTTAACGTTAGTGTGCCTATCAGTTAGGTACTACATTTCAATCTTGCCTGGCTATCCTCTCATCATCTCTTTTCTGTATATATGGGTTTTTTTTGTTAACGAATATCAACACTGCAGTGGAGTGAGTATAGGGACATTTGTACAATGCGAGGAACCAATTGAATCACGTTGTTTGCATAGAGTGCGGGAAATTAATAGAAGGCAGACTCACACAGAAGGAGAGACAATTTTTCGATTGCTTTCCCACAATATTACTCTTTGTGCTTGCTGTCATTCGATCTCTCTCTATTTGTGACTTCACGTCCTTTTGACGTCTCAATTGCTGACATCACTATCGCCTTTATATGTCGCGAGTCAGACAACATTGAAGTTGTGTTCCGTAACGCGATGCGTCTCCGTAACAAAGGCCGCCTCTTGTTCACCGCTCGACAGATGGAGCCCGGGTGCTACCCAACTCGCTCGGAGTGATCGGCGCAGACTCGGACAGAAACTCAAACACCACCGCCATCACAAGTCGTCAAATTGTACAGAACGCTCTCACAGCTCTGTCTGTGAGAGCGTTTTGTCTCCTCTTTACATGCATGTGGGGGCGGTGGGGGGGCACAGGTAGAGGGGGGCGGGAGAATGGGGGCGGGGGGAGAGTCGCGGGCCCTGGAGTGTCGTCCCACGCTTTGTAGCGAAGGTCAAAAGGCAAAGTCTCTCTCGCATCTTCAGATAAGCAGCCCGGTCCCATCACCAGATTTGGTGTGATAGGAGTTTGGCGATTTATGTCTTTACGAGCTGCGTGTTGTCCTCTTTATGTGAATGTAAAATCATAAAAGGCGAAACTTCTTTTGTACCCCAAAATACAAACTATAGACGCCTAATAGCAGTATAGAAAGAGTCTGTTTCGGCCTCGCTGTGCACTGCGTTGCACCACTATCCGAGTAGTTAACCTCGCATTCAATAAACCTTCAGAGCCAGGGTGAACATCCGACTCCAACGTATTTAATGGATCGAATGAGGTAAAACTGATGAAAAAACAGCACAAAATATAGCAACTGTTAATACTTGCAACATCAATACAATGAATGAACCATTGTGTGATGCCGCAGCCGTGAAGCCGCTCTGTGGGCGCCCCACCTACGATCTCACCACCAAGCGACGGGGCCGACACTGCTCCCCCCTCACCACCCCCCACATTAACACACACTCACACACCCCCACATAGAGCCCTGAGGGGAGGTCACCTGGCCGACAGGTTATCACCCAGAAGCCCTCTCATGGGGATAATCTTCACGGTTTCCTGCGGCCAGGGAATTGGGCGATCTCCCCCGATGCAAACTCGCACCGCGGCGCCGTGACTTGGGTTGAAATTACATGGTCACGACGGGGCTGCCCAACCACCGCGGTTAAGACACACACCACACACATGGGTCGGCAGGCAGGTAGGAGGCGGAGCCACGAACGGCGGGAAACAGGGCAGGCCCTCTGATTGGTCAGGAGCGTAGCAGCAAATCTAGATGCGGACGTCGCTGAAACCAACGGTCCGGGAGGGGAAATTCGAGCGATCTGATTGGCCGGGAAGGTCAGCGGATCAGCGGCGAAGTTTCTTTGATGTAGGTAACAATAAAAGGTGAGAGAAGGTAGAGATGAGCCAGTCGTGCTCTTCTGAAGTCGGAGATCGGAGTAATCACCTAGCCGGCCACTGGATCGTCCGTGAGACGTGTCCCAGTGCAGCCAGGCACCAGGAGAATTTTGTGCAGCCTCGCCTCTCCACGGCTTCCCGCACATCCGAACTGAACCGTGAGTACGTAAGGGAGAGTTGGGATTTAGGGTAAGATCGTAAGGAGGTTAATTTCAAGCAGACGAGGTAGATCGGGTTTAGACCGTCGGGAGATATCTTAGACTTGCCCTGCTGACCCAGGCTGATTCGGGTGAGAGTAACTCGCAGATGCACCGGGAATAAATCGTTAGCAATCGATAACAGCCTCGTGTGATTTCTACGAGCGTTAGGAAAGTGCGTGGTGGTGTGTGTGCGCTCGCCGTAACGTGTGATTTCTACGAGCGTGAGGAAAGTGCGTGGTGGTGT